AGCTCTGTGCTATCCAGCCCCCACAACCTAAAAATTGACTCAAAATAATTGGTTAATTTAGGCCGACGATCTCACTTACACCTCCACATCCGTCTGCTCACAACGACTTCGATTAGTTTTCGACTTGAGGGACCAAGCAGATCAGTCGAACCGCTAGTGCTGCAGTCAAAATGAAAGCCGGCATGTTAACATATGATCTTTTTATAGCAGCTACAGCATTCATGTCTTTAATTTTTTTAATGGGATTTGAATACCATTGATTTGCTCCGACTAATGCAATCCTTGATAATTTATCGTGTCGGGAGCAAACTAGCATATTTTTAATTTATATTTTCTATTTATTATTGTAATCTAAAATTGATAAAATATCCTACAACCAATTTTATCCACAAATATTCCCACTGAACTATTTTGCTTATATTTACTATTTATTTTATATATATTTTGATGCAATTAATTGTTTATTTTTATTAAATGTTAATAATGTAATCGGTGATTTTGCGGCCGCATGTAATTTTATTTAATGTCAAAATCATCGAAGAAAATGCTGAATTTTATATTTCTATACAGTTTCTGTGGATGTTTTACATACTGATCTACATTTTTTAATCGATCTGAATGATTTAGCTTTCTGTGTTATAGACTCCAGTTTTTTGAAGGATTTTTAATTTTTAACAATTAAAACACATAAAGCCTACGATATTGATTAATTCCAGTGTTGGATCTATGTTTACAATTGCAGTTAAAGTTTCTGTTTGTTTACATTATTGTTTTGGGGGAATTGAGATGTTACGTTATTGTACAGGTTCAATAATTTATGCAATATTTATGTATTTATATTGTTAATTGGGTTGCGGAGGGGTGTAATCCTCTAAATAATACTGGATTGTTTTGTTTCAGACTTAAATAGATAATAATGGTCTGAAGATTGGTTTTAGATTTATCACTAGCAATTTAACATGTAAGTAATTTTTTAATTTTTATCGGAGTAATTTAAAGTGACCCTCCATGCAAAGATGGTATGCAAAGATTTTGTCCTTTTATCCGGGGTATAATGTGGTTGTTTCTAATAATTCACTTGCTTTCCCTGCAGTAGCAATGCGTGAGTAACTTTAGTAGACAAAACGCAATAATTAATTTAACTATTCAAAATTACAAACATTGATATATACTTTCCGTACTTGATCAGACAAAGCCTTTAAGGCACCGTTGTAAATCCAGCATTGCCATCTTCGTATTGCGGGGCACTTGAAATTATGCTTACTAGTCTCTTTAAGCTAAAACAGCTTACTGCTCTATGGTTAATTACTAATTTTTCTTTCTTGGTGCATGAAGAGCAGGGACGGATACAGGATTTAAGTGAGGGGCGCCGTGACAAACTCCTGAAAGACAAACTCCTGAAAGACAAACTCCTGAAAGACAAACTCCGGAAAGACAAACTCCTGAAAAGACAAACTCCTGAAAGACAAACTCCTGACGAGACAAACTCCTGACGAGACAAACTCCTGACGAGACAAACTCCTGAAAATAAAAAAATAAACAATATATATATTTAATCTAATTATACAATTACTAATGTACCAATTACATAAAGATTATACACAGATAAGTTTATACATAAGCTACATCTATAGAACTGGAACATTGCCAAGTAGGAACCCGGCTAAACGTTTTAGGTTCTCAAATCTATTATTATTGTCCAAGTGACCAAGAAAGGTTTGCACTTGAGAATCTCTAGATTTCCTTCCTCCAGCTCTGCTTCTGGCATCCTCTGAGGGTAGGTTACCAAACATAATGTCCCTGAGCTTACCCTTGACAATACCATCCTCTCGACGGAACCCTTGGACAACTTTCCATACTGATGCATTTTTTTCCAATGAGGAATTCCATGCATTGTTCCATGCTTCAACAGAATTAGATGTAAACTTGGAACCATCCAAAATATCTACATGTATAGACCACATTTCATACTTAAACATGGGTGATTGTCTGGCATTACTTCGTCCCAATATTCGGCCAATCCAGGTCTTCTCTAGATAGTGTATGAATTCATTTATCTCGTCCTCATATTCTCCCCAAGACTCATCCTCAGTCATTGACTCTGTAAACTTTAATACTCCTTCCTCGTAATAATCAGCAATCTAGAAAGGTAAAAATGATAAATGCAAGTGAAAAATCACAATATATATATATATATAAACTTATATATTTTGTACGTATATCTTATGTAATTATATGTTTTGTTATTAAATATTTTCTAATTATATCTTATGTGAAAAAAGCTGATGGAAATATTATAAATACCTCAGAAACTGGCAGGTAAGCTAAGCCGTATATCATATTCAACCATAGTTGGAAGTTTACATCTTGATTGAAATGTGACGTCAGTCCTAGATTTTGAACATTGGTCCAAATGGCTTTTTTGAAGTGAAAAAAACATCAACTAACTTGCACTCCCGGAAAAACATTTTTCAAAGCTTTCTTCATACCGTTTTCAAAGTCAATTTCTAAAGCTCTCCAATAGTATTGGTTCTGTCATTGCGCTCTTAATTGTTAAAAGAAGTTTCTCGTATGAAACAGTATTCTTGTTTGTAAGGCAGGCATAGGCTGCAGGCAATATTCTCTTATCTTGGCATAGACAAAATATCACGTACACCTGTAAAAACAACAGTTGTCATAAAAGTATCATTGTGGCTATGGAAAGAAAAATTTGGTCTGAATGCTGTGATCCTAAAGGAGCAATAAGCATCTCTAAGTTATTAATTTGTTTTACCTGAGCGAAAAGAGATGGCGCTGTCTTGAAGGTGCCATCTGCAAACCAGGTTTTAGAGTTGTTCATCATCATAAGCCCATTCTCTGAGAAAAAAATCAAACCCAAAGTTTGCTCCTCTTCACTAATCCAGCCTCCAAATCGAAGAAATAGTCCCTGATCAGAGGTAAACTTCAAATCCTTAGGAAATAGTTCCAGTACTTCATCCAAGGTGTTGGGTGTCTTTGGAGTGGGATTGTTCTTCTTCCTTGCACGAACAATTGCTTGCTTAGTAGCTTGAAGGCTTGGCAAAGCATACGCAATGTTTGCATTGGTTTCATCAACTTTATTTTGAATTTCTCCAAGGTATCTTCTAGGGCCAACATTGGGGTTCTCAGCACTACGGCTTACTGCTTCATTAACAATCAATTTGGTCTTAATTGTCATTAATTCAGATCCATGATTGGTATGCGTTCCAGTTAGTGTAATGATCACATTCTCCTCATTGTTTGTAACAGCTCGAGCCTTACATTGTATTGCCTTATCCCTGTACTTTGAACAAGTCCAGTATGTTTTTGCTCCGATTTCCTTCTCCTTGGTGTAAGTATAGTTATTCTGATCAATAAGGCGCACGGATCCTGCACGAGCATTGTAATACTTTGCTGCTTGAAACATATTCAAAGTACTAAAGTTTGAGAATTTTTTCTGGAATATTTGCGGATTTTTCTTCTAAAGTTTATGAATTTTATCAAATTTCATTCAGAGAAAAATTTATGGATTAGGACAAGGATTTAAGGTGGGTCGGACACAGTATTTGGAACAGGAACAAGGAACATGAGCAATTCAAAAACAAAAAGAAATTACTAGTTATACTTAAATGCATGAAAATTAGGAACAATATTACAATTTTGATAAATGAGTATTGATTAAGGAACATTACTAGATATGAACAATATTATAACTTAAGTCTAGTTTCTTACAAATTTCTAATTCTAAATTTATCGTTAACAATAACATTTACTTGTTGTCGTTGATTTTAAAATTAAACTGAAGAAAAGAAAGTCAAGATTTTCATTAAATAAAAAAAGCTTGAAATTGAAAAACGCATACGATTTATAAAATTGGGAACATTTTTTGCCTCAATCTCACCGCCCCTGATGAAGAGCATGAAAGAGTAATCCTGTATCGTTCCGTCTGAGTGTATAAATCCGGAGATTCAATATACGTTGTCTGTTTCGCCGCCCTAAAACAGAGCCTGTATCCAGTCACGGTATGGGTGTTGTCAAATTTAAAGGACCTGGGTTGGGGTTCATTTTCGCGGTTTATCAACAATCTATTAGTCATCTCACCTCAGCGTAGATATACTTGTTCAACGCGTTTTGGTGAATTTGTGAAATTTAGGGACGTGTTAATCTAAGTGCTAAACGTCGCTATCAAAGGTTCTGTTTTGTTTAACACTTATTTAGTTGTTACATTACATGGTGTAATGTGACTCCTAAGCAGAATTAGCAAAACAAGCTCGTGAAGTCGGATAAATCGGCAGTTATTACGATTTTATTGTCAAATGCCATTTGTTATAATTTTCCTTTACAAATCGTGTCAACTTATCATTTGACAAGCATTCGTTGGGCTTATAAGTTAGCAATGTAGAACTTACCTCACGAAAAGTTATTCTTATCCAGTTCAAATAAAGGTAAAAATACTAGGGCAGACTAGGTGGGGTTAGGAACTAGCATCTTTACTAGGAAAGCTGCTTGGGTGTGAGGGGCGTTAACTTTTTCTTGGGACGGATTTCGGTTCCATAGATGATAAATTAGCTTCAACCAAATCTTACCTTTTTTTGATAAATTTGTTTTACTACTCTTTCTTGCTTAAAACCTTTTTTGGCCAATTTATAGATCAATCTTTGTTGCCAACTCTGATAATGTTTGGACCCTTTTTTGTTTAGGAACTTTTGTTGTCCAATCTCTAGACCTTTTTTGTCTAGAAGCTTCTGGCAAATTTAAAGAACTTTTTCATGGCTTCGAGGCTAAACGGACACTTTTTAAACCTTGACAGAACAAACTGTCTAAATATCTAATATTATGATTACTTATATAAACAAGTTAGTTACCAGGGGCGGCTTAAGATATTTTCTTGGGGGGGGGGGGCGTCCGGGTCCCCCTCCCCCTTAAGCCGCCTCTACCAATAACCATCGTTTCAAAAGTGGCATTTAAATACTCACAAAATCGACGAATAAAAGTGCTAACAATTGAATATTTTCCAATTGAAGAATACCAAAATCATATTAAAAAATGGTTTATTAACATAAATTGAAATAAGAATAAGAATGTTAAAATCGGCCAATAAATTCATTTAGAATTGGTCACTGGTCAGAAAATACATTTAAAACCGAACACTTTAAAAATTGTAAAATTGTATTTGTGTTTTGTGTGAGGGAAAACGAGAGGGGAATGGGGTTGCGGGGCACCCCTCTTGATAATCAAGCCTTGTCTGTGGGAACTTTAATGACTCCTGGTGAGGTGGTTTATGACCGTTCGACATTTGTAAAAATCTGCGAAAATGTTTGTTGTCGTTTTTAGATTTACGAAATGAATTTGATCTGAAACCCAATACATTAAAGTTTTCACGCCATGCAGTATAATTATTACTGTAATTAAAATTAAAAAACAATATTGATCACCAGATCAATACAAACGAATTTTTAAACACTTAAACTCGATCTGAACGTTGCATAGTTCATATTTCATTTTATAACCCTGAAGGGGGGACCCTTTTATATCCCGGCCAGGTGTAGAGGAGTTTAATCATTTTATTTTCCAATCAAACTCAAACCGATTATACAGATAGAAATTCTATCTCTTACAGAAGACCTATAAAATGTTGAAAAATAACAAACCTGACAATAATAATTCTTCACCAAGTCATTTATTTACCTTCACAAATAAAAAATGGGAAAGGAAAATAATTTTTTAAATTTGTTTATCCCTGTTATTTTACGAGATGGGTATTGACCCCTGTCTGCTGTGGGGGGGGGGGCTGTAGTTGTGTTGGATTTGGACAGTAGTGTGAGAGCTAGTGAGGGGGACAGTGCTCTGTACTCTTTGACCCCGTCAATAAGTGAATCCCCGTGTAATCTAAAGAGTTAAATTGTATTTACGACTTGCTTTTGAGCTGTGGAACTTATTGTAATATATTTTAGGTTTAAACCTAATTTAACAAACTGACTCGGAAGTATATTGATTACGTTGAGTAACCGGTATTTTCTAACTAGATGTGGTTTCAATCACTGATAATTATCATATCAGTTTTCCTTTAGCTAACTAGTATGCATGAAGGGGGGGGGGGGTCATTGTACTCATTTCATTGACCTAGAGTACTTCTGTCTTAAATTTGTGGTTAAAATCTTATCAATGTTAAAACCTGATTTGAATCGATTCTAATAAGATTAATTTAATTTCTTTTGATTGGGTTTGATTCGTAAATCAAATGATCAATGAAATGATCGGTTAAAGGAGTTTTATTCTCTTGAATGATTTATATTGTCTGTCCAATAAAATTTCAGCTCTTTGAAAGTGTGCACTGTGTAGTGTTCAGCATCCAATCCATTTAAATTTAAGTTTAAAAAAATGGATCGGCATTCCGCATTCATCTAAAAAAAAATTGCATTTTTTATAACATAATTCCAAAACGTTCTTTTTTCTCGCGATTTTTTATGTTAAAATTGTTTTTACTATACATTGATTTAATTTAATTTTAATGATTGTTTTGAGAACATGAAATTTTTTCTTGGGTTGGTTGAAATTTTGCCAGTTTGATTCAGATCTGTGGATCCGTATCATTTGTACAGCTAAAATCTATTTAAAAGGTATAAACAAATCAGTGTGTACACTGTGTGTATATTGTATTATACACCCTATATTCTATTATTTAATATATGTTAAATCTAGATGTATAATAAAGGTGTATAGAGAAGTGTTAAGCCTAAATTATTCTAATTTTACTCACTTCTGAATACAATGGAAAGGACCTTCAGTTTATGCAGTCAAAATTTCAAACAATCCTGTTCTAGTAATCCAGGAATTAATTAGTTTGTCCATTCTCTTCTTAACAATATATTGAGATGTTATACTTCATTTGCAAGTTATTTACATACTAGATTGGGAAACCAGCTTTGCTCGGAAACTAAACTTTTCTTGTGAACGAATCTTTGAAACCAAGCAGAAAACCTTTTTGTTGTTTGACCGAGTATCTCGATAAAAATCTGAAGAAAATCGGTTCAAGGGTTCTGAGTTGTGGTCAGAAATACATACAGTGAATACTACTTTATATATGTACAAAGATGGATGCTAGGTTTCCAGGGCGCTTCTAGCCCCTCTTAATAGTAATGTTCATGGCTTTTTGTTTTTGGTCTTGCTTCTGATTTTTCTATTTTCCTGAATTTTGCGGATTTTCCTTTCTCAAATCCTAACCAGTTTTTACTTGGACGGTGGTAATGCAAGGTACCACATAAAGAATTCGGGCCCGATAGCTTCAGCTATTTTACACTTTTTATTGGATACCAAAAAAGAAGTCAGACATTTTTGTTGTGTTAAGTTAATTTTTTTTTGTTTTCAGTGGATCCCTTGAACCTTGTTGATGCATTTCCGGTAAATACTTGTGTAGAATACCAAGGATCTGGATGCAATTGTATTGTATCCGTCCTATTCTATGGAAAACCTTGTCCTTGCTTATATTTAGATTAAGTTACATAATCAGATTACTGGGAACATTATCTATCTATCCTAATCCGGACTATCTTACATTCACTTTATCTACAAAATATACTTATATCATCATTTTTACATTTTTTTTATATCCAGTTTTTTTTCAGTTTCTTTGCCTTAATTTGTGTAATTTGTGTTTATTTTACGACCTAAAGTTATCTTTCATATCAAAAGTAAAATTAAAGAGAATATCATGATTGATTAAAATCTTACTTTTTTCAATCAGAGCTCCTCTTATTTAAGAGCTATTGAGTAGAACAATAAAATTCTAAATTTCTAATGTGCAATAAAATGAAAATGCTATTTTCAGATGAGCTACGAGGTCTCTAAAGTCGAATAGTATTTTCTCCTTCTGTCTAGATTGTAGAGTTATTCTTATTAATGAAGATTTTATTAACTTATTTATCTCATGCGAAATATTAAAATCTTTGTGGTTTCACAAGGGACACTTATATGAAATAAAAACTTTATCAATAATACAAACAAAAATATTTGAAGTTTACAGAACTTTTTTGGTTGAATTATCGAAGGCATATATTGCCCTGAAGAGTGCAGATTTGAATATTGCATTACTGTGGTTTTAGTGGAAACCATCTTCATTGATAAACCTGTTCTTAAATCTTAAACCACTAGGGCCGCGCGGGGGGGGGGGGGTTAAATTTAGTTAATTTGGAAACCACTATTTTTGAAAATTCCTGATCAGAAGTGTTGAAATTCTCATTTGATTATTTCATT